TAATCACAGCATTTTTGAGAAGAGATAACAAGTTGACTGAAAGAAAACATCTTGCAGTTTGGAGTTTGTCCAAATTTTTAGTGTAAATTACAGCATTTACACTATATACCAAATATATAATACCAAACTATTAGTATTAATAATAGTAAATTTCTATTATAACACTGAAACTACTCTATGTTGGTAACTCCTGTCACAGGGAAAAATTTGCAGAGTGGAATATGTATGGAAAATATGATGCAAGTATATATATATATATTTTTGGTCATCATGCTCCTCACAATATTCACATTATCCACGTCACTTTGTAATGAATCTCTTCCCTAAGCCAACCTTCTCCAATGACTTTCCTCCCTGATCCTCCAAGAGAGTTTAGACACGAACAATGACTAATAAACAGTTTCTAAGCACCTACAAGGGGTGTACACAGTCTAAGGAAGGTTTTCATCTGAGAAAACACAATACTCTTGGCATTGTCTTTTCTTATGAAAGAATGTTAATGGCATGCTGGAGACTGCCAGCAGTACCTCCCCAAGGTAAGGCAGTTTTCAAGGAGGAAAGGCTCTGTCCAAGCCACATCATTAAAAATGTAATGGTTATGGAGACCATATGTTTTCCTTGTTACAGACGTAGTCATTAAATTTTGTCTTTTCCAGTTATAAATTGATCTTGTAGGCAGGATGACAACTCAATGAAGAAAAGAAAATAGGCAGTTTTAGTCTTTTTTTTATACATATGTTCTAATAACAGCTTTTTAAAGAAGCATATAGCACAGTCAGGTTTTTTTGCCAGTTTCACATATTATAGGAACGAAATGCAGACCCACAAATTGAACAATGTTTTGCTAATGGCTCACCAAAAAAGAAAACCCTAGGTAATAAAAAACCAATTTCCCCAATGAACTGCAAGTAAAAATACATTTTAAAAGACAGAAAAATTACAGACTTTGAATCCACAGGCTTACTTTAGGAATAGTTGCTGTGAAATGCACACACAACACTTCAGTGTTAGCTGAAAATTTCTTTAATAGTCACAAAATTGACATTCAAGAAGCATGAGCAAGAAACTGGTAAAGAAACATGAAGACCATCTAAACAAGCAGCCACACCAATAGTAATAGACACATCCAACAGAATTTCCCCACAAAATACACATTTCCTAGACAAGATTATAACCAGAGCTCTGTAGCTCACAAGGTTGTTTCTAGTGACCTAGCCAGGTATATTTTTTGCTTATGAGGTTTACGTCTTGCCAAACTGCATCTGAGTACATGACAACCTAGAGGAGCAACAATTTAGCTTCAGACAATTCATACACCCCAGCTTGGCACACATAAGGTTTTTTAAAGGTTCACCAAGGTTTTGAAAGTTTCGCTCGACTTCTCTTTGTGATGATGGTCCCGGGTAAGTCAACCTGTGAAACTGAAAATTGCAGTTTTGAAATCCAGTTTGCACACTCTCCTCTGAATTCCTACCCATTAACTCGGCACAAGACAAGTACACTTTTCTTTCTTGAGCTTTTGTTAATGGTTTTGTGCATGCTCTGAGCTTCTTCTGTTCTGTGTGTATCAGTGGATGTGAGAATGTCCACACCAGAGCACTGCCTTCAAAAGTGAGCTACCTGGGGAGACGTGCAGGGGAGTCCCTTAGTGCCTTGCTTTGACTTCAATCCTCGAACGCTTTGAGTTGGAAGGGACCTTAAAAATCATCTCATTCCAATCCACCTGCCACGGGGAGAGACACCCTCCACTAGACCAGGTTGCTCGGGGCTCCATCTAGCCTGGCTTTGAAAGCTTTCAAGGATGGAGCATCCACACCTTCTCTGGGCAGCCTGTTCCCCTTGATGAAAAACTTAAGTGAGTTTTCGACCTGTCTATCCCCCCCCCCCCCCCCCCCCCCCAGAAAATAGTCTTTTGCTCTTCAGCATGATCAACTCTTTAATAAATTCAGAAATAATCCATGTTTTGAAAATCTTCAGAAAACTACAAAAGAACCCCACTGTCAGCTCAATTTTAGCTCGACCTTCTGCATTCTGAAAAAGAAAAAAGGATCTAGTACCAATATAGTATTTTAACATAAGAGAAGGACATAATGGGGATGACTACTGCTACAATAATCCTTTTAAAGCTCTCTGCTTAAAAGTAACTACCAAATTTTCAATGCTAAAAGGACCTTTACTATTTAAAATAGGCTGTATGAAGATCCAGAACCAGGGGATCTTCATACCTCCCAAACAAATAAGTTTTATCAAATAAAAAGCAAAAGAAAGACATTTATAAGATTGCAGAGAGTATTGCAATATAGTTTTAATAGTTTTTAAAGAAAAAAATTGAATTTAAAACTTTAAACTGCTGAATATCACTAAGCATTCAGTTCTTGCAGACAGCTCTACAAAAGCCATTTAATGTATCAGCTCTGACTCAAAAATTATATATTTAACATGTACATTTGCTTAGGTCAGCCAAAATTATGTAAAACAAACTCTAGTAGATTTAAATGTCCTAAAAGATTTTTGTATTGGCTTCATCAAATCTGCATAAGATTGAACATTTGTATTAAATGCATGAACTCATACATAGACCAGACTCGGATATCTTCATTTTCTCTTAGAAAGGACCATTTAAAGCCTTCCAAAATCAACGCTACTGAAACAAAATCAGAATTCTGCCATATTTAAAATAGAAAAATGTTTCTATTTTACTGAAACATAAAAAGTGTCAAGAGTTCATATAGGATATGAAACATTAGTATGGACTTGTTTCATTAGATGATAAATTACAGGGCACTGAGTGGAATGAGTTATACTATAAATACCCACACATCTCCTGCTTTGAAAAGTAAGCATTCTGCAAACATTTACTCTTTTGGTATGCTGCATGCATTGCAATAGTTTCAGCTTGACCAAACATTTGCTACTGCACATAGAATAGTCAAGCTGCTTCAAGGATATTCAAGAAGCTGTCTCTTATGCTACTACTGCTTTTCTATTAGGATTTGAATACTGCTCTCATATACATAAAAAACAGCACAGTCATGCCATTTTTGTTTATTTACGGATGTTACAACAAACCATTTGATTCTATAACAAACACTGATGTTTATTTCATGTTACAAGAAATGACTCAAAGTGGGTAAAACACAGACTTAAACTTCCTTTAAGAAGCCTCTAGGCACTAATGGAACTGCATGACATCTTCGGGGGAGACACCAGTCAGGCACTTCTGGAGCTTGGTCCAGCCCAGAAACGCTATTATGTTTTGCCAAGACAGTGAGCACACAAGAATCCATGACTCAGCTCACTCTTCTGGTGTGCCATCCATCTCTAGAGGCAAGGAAAGAATCAAAAACAAATTAATTTTTAAGAGCTGGAACTTGTCAAATAGTTTCTAACTTGAGAACAGAAAAATAACACTGAGTGGTTCCACCACAGTCAACCAATAAAACGTTTCCTTTTTTTTTTTTTTTCCAGCCAATCTTTAAAGGTACTGAGGACTAAAAAACGCAAAATGACATCTAAAGTATCTTGCCAGGAGGCTACATTTCACTGCCTTCAGCAAAATGAGCCCTCTGGTTCTGTGAGCACCTACCTTCATGAGACTTTCCTGGTGTCTTCAGCACTTTAGTCCAAGCTGATTTATGTTGACCCAGTGCACTGCTGAGTAACTCACCCACTGAATGGTTTGCAGACTGAAGTACAACTAAATGGGAGCAGGGTTAACAAGAACAGACCTCAGAAGTACATCAGCTTCTCTTCCAGGGATGCTTAAAAAAGCTTAAAAACTCAAAAAAAGTCTGCCCCGCAAGGACTTTTGTATTGTTGCTTTTAATGAAACTTGATTACCTCAGAGTCTGTAAATTTTTATTTGTTTTTACTAAAAAGCAAGTTATTTCACTTGGCAGGAACTACAAACTTTCAATGTTTTGCTGAAAAGACACATTTCAACAGAATGTTTTAAAATCAAGAGCATCTCGGAAAGTAATAACAAAAATGTACTTTAACATTGTTTTCAAATATTTATTACAACAACCTATAAACTCATTTCATCCCAACAGGTATTCTGCCTGCAGTATCTGTAACCTAATAGCCACATTACCCAAAATTGTCAGTTAAATAGCAATGAGTCTAAAAACCCCACCCTCTTTCCCACCAGGCACTTTTGCTATTGTCCAGGACCACAAAGTTATATTAATAACTTAGCTAGCAAAAGTACAAAGTCACCGACAAGAAAAGTCAAATGTGCTTGCACAGACAAAACCTTTTCATCTGCTTTAGAAACACGCTCCTGGCTCTCAAATCTGGGATCCAAAACTCTAATCAGCGCTAGGGCTAATTCTTTTTGCTATAAAAATCTCCACCAGCATTCTCAGGATCTGACATAAGCCTTTTTGGCTGCTTCTTAGGGTTATGATAGCTTAGAGTCACAGATAAGCAAGGCTGGAAGTACAAATCCTGCCAGAATAGTTCCCATCTTTCCAAACACAAAATGAAAATCACAGCTTTATGTAGTGGAACAACATTTAAGGAACATATAATACGTATCATTAGAAAGGAGGGCCAGAGGTTCACCCTGAAGGACTAACAACAAAAGCAATTTAAGTATTTGCTACACAGGAGTCTGGAAGGAGCTGGCCAGCACCTCACTTCAGCTACACTTAGGGCGGGTGACCCACAGCAGAGCAGGTGATACAAAAACAAACAACAGGGAATCAGACAGGAGAAAGCTTACTTCACTTTGCAATCAAAAATGGTATGTAACAGAGGGTAGATTTTTTTAATACGGGACATTAACTTAAACATACCTCGAACCTCCTGGTTTATAGAATTGGGCTATTTGTTTAGAAGGTAAAATAAATAAGGTTTTTTCCATGAAGAAGAACGTATTTTGGTTGAGTTACTATCCCTGGAAGCGTCCAAAAAAAAAAAAAAAAAGAGCAAAATGTGGCACTTCTCAACATGGTTTAGTGGGCGTGGTGGTATTCAGTCAAAGGCTGGACATCTCGGATGCCTTTTCCGAGCTTCCTAACTGCAGGCTTTGTCCAAGGAGGTGCTCCTTGCAGGCGGACGCCAGGGCCGTGCGTGCGGGGGGCCCGGCGGCGGGGCTGGGGGTGTCTGCCGAGGCTGCTGCGGGTCGGGCCCGGCCGCGGCGGCTCAGGCGCGGAGATAGTCGTTCTTGAGGCGGCTGAGGCGGGCGCCGTGGCTGCGCACCGTGAGCGCCAGCAGGTCGTACTTGTCGCGCAGCCCGCTGGAGACGTGGCGGGTCTCTCGGAGCAGGGCGCGGGCGTGCAGCAGCAGCCCCAGGAAGCTGTCGCCCAGGCGGGACTCCTCCCGGCCGCCCTGCTCCTGGCCCTGCCGGAATTTGCCCTCCAGCTCGCTCAGCGAGCGGTCCGAGCTGGAGTAGGCGTCGCTGATCTGGGCGGACTCGCGGCGCAGGTAGGCACCGTAGCTCTCCTCCCCGTCCAGGTCGTAGGAGATGCTCCTGCCGATGCCCTCCAGCACCCGGCCCGCGTCCTCCACCTGCCGCCCCAGCACCGTCAGCTCTTCGCGCAGGCTGAGCCCGCCGCCCGCCGCCGCCGCGCCGCACCGCCGCTGCTCGCTCACCCGGAACAGCAGCTGGCACCGCTCGGGGTCGTCGTTCTCCTCGTAGTCCCCATCGGGGACGAAGTAGTGGTGCAGGCTCCCGTTGGACATCTCGGGGTACAGCGGCCCCTCGAAGTACCCGCGGCAGAGGCTGCAGAGCCCGAGCAGCCACGCCAGGCGCAGAGGGAGCCGCATCATGCCGCGGCCGACTCGCAGCCTAGGGCCGCCCGTGCCGCATGGGGCTGCCCGTTGCCGGCCTCGGCTGCGCTGCGGGCCGCCCGGGCCGAGCACGGCAGCGCGGCCGGAGAGCTGGCGGCGNCAGGCAGGGCAGGGCCGGGCCGGGCCGCGCCGCCCCCGCCCCGGGCACCGGCCGCAGGGCCGCGAGCACCGCCCCGCGGGGCTGTCACACGGCAGGGAGGGAGACACGTACCCCTCTCGCCTCTCAGGGAACTCTCTTCAAAGAAAAGCCTTTAAACCTGAGCTGCTCGGCTCCGCTCTTCTTCCCGTTAGAAACGACTGCTTCGCTAAGAGCCTGGTGTGAACTGAGGCTCAAACGCACGGCTTGGGACAGAGGGACTGCTCCAAGTTGCTCAGGCCACGTAGTTTGTCATTGATAAAAAACTTGGACGGGAAAGTGATGCAGGATCAAGTATAAAGTGTAAAACAATAAACCTTGATAGGGTAAGATGGGAAAATGAAACACAGAATTTGCTCTTAAACAAGATATCTGATATGTTCAAGGAAAACCCCATTACGGTGCATCCTATGGGACTCACTTCATAAGCGCTTCTTTTTCATGAAACAATATTTTGGGTGAATCTAGTAGCAGAATTGTGGCACACTTGAACCGTGCACCTAACTTTTAGAAATCTCTCTGTACCATTTTTGAGTTGTTAAATCAAGCTGAGATCACAAAAAGAAAGGATCTGTAAAGTTACCAACTCCTTTCATATAATTTTTCCTCTTTCATGGAAAAAAAATCACCACCTCGCAAAGATTATACCAGATCCTGCAGTCATCCAGAGTTAAAACTCCTACTGCTGTTTGTGGGAGATTTGCGTGCAACAATATTTATGCTGCCCTATAAAGTAAGTACGTGAACTATCATCTTGACACTTTCTGCATGTGGCAAATAACTACAGCACAATTTAGTTGGCAAAATAAGCCAGACACTTGAGATGTATCTCTGCTTTTTTTCACTACTCTTCTGGGCATTGTAGATTAAAGGCTTACAGGACTCAGGGGCCTTTGGGTCTACCATTTCTTATGCTGCCATCATTTTAGACGCCTATAATTCAAACTCAGTCTAGAGCCCCTTCCCCTCACATCAGCTTCTTTCTGTAATGACAAGCTGTCCTGTCTCTGCTGCAGAGAGCAGCTGCTCATCTCAATTTCAACTGAGCTCCACAAGCTGCTCCCTTCTTTGCTGACTGTTCCTTGAGGGAAGGCACCTATTCCCGTGCATCTGGTAGGTTCCTGGGAGCTCAGTGATGGACTTAACTACAAGGCTAAGCCCTTTAATGTAAGACACAGTTACTGAGTGCAAGCTGTCACTTCCATGTGGCCTTTAATACTCCATGCTAACCTGGGATATCAGTGTGCCTGGGTATTGACTGCAGAGCCTACTGAAGCACTTCACATAAGCTCAGATGGTCATAAGACTAACACCAAGAGACAAAACCAAAAAATAAACCAAGCAGTCAGACAGCCAACAAAAAAATAACCAGAGACAACAAGAGTAGTAACTGAAGCCTTCACTTACTGAATTGATTTATAAGTAGTCTCTGCAAGTTCTGGAGTCCTTTGAGATCACAAACACCTCAAGATGAGAAATATTTGCAGTGTCTAGGCATCTTCTCTTTCCAGATGTCTTTCTGTTGAGAAGCCCAGCTAGACAAGCTATTGTAACAGAAGCACTCCACTCATTTGGAAACATTTTAAATCTGTAATTAAGTTCACAAAACACTCATATAAATAGGTTGGATTAGGCTAAGGTACTGTGCTTCAGCTTTCTATAAAATGTTTAAGGCTTATTCAGCTGAGGCTGTTTGGTATTTGTTCTTGGTCTCTGTTAGCCCACAGGGGCTCCTTGAAACAATTCTATTCCCAGGGCGCTCTTGTTTCACCTAATGTTTTGTTTGGATCCCTGTTCTTTGCCAATCATAGTACATTTTCTTCATCCATTTCCAACCAGGTGGTATTACTGACAGTCAGCTGATTTGGCTGGTACTTGGGTTCTAGTGGACTCCCCTTTTGAAGTCTCCTCATGGACGTACTGCACTGTAAATCACCAGCTATAGCTCTGTCAGCATGGTTATGCTTTCAGCAGTGCCACAGAGAGTAAAAAAACCCCTAGCCTTACTAAATATGTTGTCTCTTTGTACATTTAGAGACTAAGAGGTATATGCTGTTTCCTGCTGCAGCTGCCTGCCTGCCACTGCTGTTTTCAATCGGGCACACATTATCCAGGTTTAATTTAAATTTTATATCCAAATAGTCTCACCCCAATGGAAAGCAGACTTGGAATGTCTATTTTTTAAGGAAGTCTGCAATTCGGGATCTGCAGTCTTAGTGACTCAGGAGGCAAAGGTTTGGTAAAAAATGGAACTTGACGAAAGATACACAACAGCCTGATCCAAGGCAATGCCTATTACGGGTCAGGATTACAAAGCAAGAGAATTCTAAGTTTCAACTGAAAAGCATCAAATGGTGGAAAAGATGAAGGCTTACACTATTGAGTAGCCACTATTAAATCCAAAATCAGACAGAACAAGACTGTGAATGAGTAGCCACTATTAAATCCAAAATCACACCTAAAAGACAAAAGTCTTCAAGACTGCAATGAGAAAATCTAATATGAATACCCTTAAACTGTCTATGAAACCATGTGCATGCAAATGAAAATCAGGTTATTTTTTTTCTGAAAGACATGCACTGAAAGTAACAATTACCTTTCTCTATCAAGACTTGAGTGAAGGGTCTGAAATCTTCACCACAGTTAACAGCAGCAGGCACACCACAGCAAAGGCTGAAGGAACAACATAAAAATCAGTCAGTAGAACTTTGTAAAGTAATTTCTGGCAATAGCTGGACGTTCAGAGGGCAATAATACTGAAGGAAGACAGAAGGGAATTTATCAGGAATACCAGAAACCTGGGTGCAGAAAATCAGGGAAGTGAGTGAGCTGCTTTTCTGCTGAATGTTGCATTTTCTGCTGGGAGTCCATAGGGATTGCTGCATGACATCAGATATCTGGGGAGCTTTTGGGATGCATCCAAGAAACAGATCTCCTTGTGGCACACTCCCATGAAGGCCCTTATTCAAATCCTGGCATTGCCAAGAGACTGGTTGATTTCAGTATCTTATCCTCCATGCCTGCTCAAGGATTTAAAAGTTCCTTTTGTATAAATGAGGGAAAAGTACAGGAAGCAAAAAGCAAAACGGCATACTGGTACTGTTCTCTTAAAAATACTTGGCATTATATACTCTGTTGTGGTAAAACCACTGTTTTTGAACAGTGGCTAAAATAAACAACATTTAAAACAAAGTTTAAAGTAACATAAAGAACTGTAGAATTTACTCTGCATAACCTGCTTATGCAGCACCAAAATCAGCCTCCAGCACAGAAATTGCCTATGAACTGATGGCAAATGCACAGCTCAGCATGGATTTCAGGTGATTTCAGTTGTACACATATTCTTCCTCAAGCTATGCTTCATCTTGGGTTTTTGGCTCACATGTAGTTGCTATTTCTGTTGTAGGTCATGGTAAACTTTGCAACATCGGAATATTTCAGATGTAAATGGCTGTTTATTCAGAGAACAGAGATATGTTATATGGTCCTAAAGGCCCCACAGGCTTGAGAGTCTAAATGTTTTCTGACTACTGGCTTCTCTTTTCCTGCTATGAACTGTACTATGCCTTTACATAAAGAAACCTTGTTTTAAAATGAGACTAAAAAATATGTCTATGTAATTTCTAGTTGTATGGCACAGTGCTAAATGCTCAAAGGGCATTTAAGGGGGTGCAGGGGGAGGCATGAAATAGTCCATGAAGGAGTAATGCCAGGAGTTTTTGTAGGAACATTGCCATAAGAACATACCAGAAATTCTGTAACATGAAAAAAGGGTTTGGGAAATGAAGCTTTTATGACGAGTTTAGTATTCATTCAGTATAACTTTGCAATACAGCAGAAATTCAGAATCACTATGCTGAAGCACAAACCATACTGATTATTCCAGGATCAGAAGAATGTCGGGGGTTTCACTGAACTTTTGAATTTCTCAAAAAGGCATATTTAATTCAGAATTGGAACAGCTGACCAACAGATATCTCAAAAACAAATTTGTAGAGAAAACAACTTTAATGTTAGCTTATTTAAGCTAACTGATTATGATAACCCTTTTCTCCTTTACCAACTTCAGGCTGAAACCACATCTGTATCTGGGCACAGAATGCTCCGAGTCCATTAGCACTGGCCTGTCTTGGATAAGCATTACAGAGAACCAAATTAAAAAAACACAAGTAGCTATAGAAAGATTTGGTATGAGGCTGAATAAGAATTCAACTAATGGAAAAGGTCTGTCAGGCTGTTTGTCTCAGAAGAGTTTGCAAGTAATATTGAACCTACTTCAGTTTTAGCCAACACCAAAATGACCTTGGCCTTGGCAAAAAAATATGGAAAAATAGTTTACCACAGCCCATCTCTGTAGTGGGTGCTGGTTTACTTTATGGAAATATCATTTCCTTAAAGCAGAAAACTGAGGCTATGCTCAGTTTGCTTTTATAAAGTGAAGTGATGCATCTGGATGCTTCCTAAGAAGGGAAAAGGTTAAAAGAGCTGAAGCAGGATAAATATGTACTAGTATTTTAGTAGTGCAGTTTCAGCCTGTTGATGGAAAATCCTGAACCCCAAAAGGGATATTGCTAGCATCTCTTCAGCAAGGTTCCTGAAGTGGAAATAATAACACTTCCTCATTGGAAATGAAAACACTTAAAAAACATCATTGCTGGCCAGCACATGGAGAAATTTTCCAATTACTGTAAATGTGGTTTGTTACAGAGACAGCATATCATGCTTTTAACATGTTGATTTGATTTTCAATCCTTTCTATGTTATTTTTAATGTTCTCTGTAAGCATGAAAAGGCTGCATGTGGAAACACATATTTTGCAGTGGTTACAGAAATATAGTTCACTAATTTTTTGTAAAAAAATGCTTTCTCCTTCCATCTAACCTGTTAGGAGTAAAATAAGATTTTGAAACCCCCAAAGTTTCTTTTTCCTTCTCTCCCTGTCTCACAAAGTAGAGAA